TTATTCAGATTGGTTTCATTATATATCACCCAGAGCCAGTTCAGAATGAGGAGGTGCCTAAATGGAATACATTAAATGAATGTAAAAGAAAAGCAAAGGTTACTAGCTTAAGAAAAAAATCCCAAATCCATATTAAGTAGACCATTTATTAGACCATCTTTACATTATAATGCCTAATGCAGACTTTGAAATAATTAAAAATGCTTTAAGAGGCATTTTAAATATTTTGACAACTTTAGTTGAACTTGAAAATTACTGTCTTTTTAAAGATTTTAGATTTTTTTATGCATATACAGCCATTTTTCATGAGTAGCCTGCTGATTTTTCGCATTATCAACAATACTGGCAAAGGATTGATGTATTTGGATTTCTTTGTATAGTTAATTCCAAAATATTAAGAATCTAAGCATTTAAACACAAAGTATGCATAGAAACACAGCCTTAAACATCTACAGGCAGACTTTGATTTATGTGGGACGGTCATTAAGCGGGTCATCACATAACCAATCTGATTTTACAACTTTCAATTTTACAATCTTGAAATATTTCTATGGTCTTTTTAGAGTTGCCAACAGAAAGGGTGCGGGAAAAGGGGTTTGAAAGAGCAGTGTGGCAGCTTGGAAATTGAAAGGGCATTCCATAAATAGTTTTTCAAAGATAGTAACTAGGTGACTGAAGTTTCTGCCATGCAAATATCTAACTGGAGAACATGATTGATGACTCTTGGCTATGGATGTGTCTCATTGGAGAATATGAACTACGATACACCCAGGGAGTGGGAGAAAACCTGGGTCAAGGATGACAAAGAATTATGTGTCTCAGAGTCAGCTAAACCCAGGCAGGGCCGGGCATGTTAACTTGAAATTTTGGAATTTTGGCTCGAGACTCATGATTTAATTGGGGTAACTGCATTATAATAATCATATGACTATGGAATGCTACAAACAGTCTGGTTGCTGCGTGCCCAAACTATAATCATGTCACCTGGGGAGCAGACATTGCAACTTTGAATCCAGGTCATAAATAGATTTTTTTGAGTTGGTCATTAAGTGAGAACTACCTATAGTGAGTGCTATACTGTAAGGCTGGAGATAGGCAAATAATTTCAGGAGCAATGGAAACAATTTGTGAAGATTCTCAACTATATTTGATATATTCTTGACTTTCTAAAAGGCTTTCGTGACTTAGAGCAGCAGTCTCCAACCTTTCTGGCTTTGCTGATTGGCGGGGCGGGGGAGAAGGGATGGTTCCGTGAAAGCAGTGAACAAATGCGTGTGCGTGGCTCCATTTGCACATGTGCCGGACACGTTCAACCACTCTCACATAGACAGAGCTTCGTACATGCATGCTCATAGGGCGCAAGTGGAATTGTGTGTGAGCACAAGGGCCACTAGTGGGCCACGGTCCAGGGACTGGGGACTCAAGACTTAGAGCCATTGTACCATTAATAATTCACAAATTAGTGGAATGTCAAGTGATCACAATTTAGAAAATCTATTAACCGTTGTTGGTTTGAGCTCTGAGCTTGACAATTTAGTTGCAAATGTTTCATCCCCATTCGAGGAGACCTCTTCAGTGCACTTTGGATTGTGCTTTTCCTGGGGGAGCACTGGCCTTTAAATACCTTTCTGAGTCCTGGTCTGATTTCAGATTATGTGATTGGCTGGCTGTAGTTGCTGAGTCATGAACTGGCATTTCTCCTCATACAATCTATGAACTTGCATTTCCCCTCATTTCCACTAAATGATTAATCCAAACATCTTCAGGAAAGATAGCAACACAAATCGAATAAGTCCTGATGGATATAACATCAGGGCTTCTATTTGCATATAATGTCTTTAGTACCATACTCTAGAACTTTAGAATAACTTGCCATTAATTTCTTTATGTAATTTCCAAGTGTTTCAATTCTGGTTTTTTCCTCATATGAGCAAACCTTTTCAAATAGATCATGAGATACAAACACAACATCATGCAATGTGTTTCCGTAGCTCAGAGAAAATTGTACGATGTTAGGACAGATATAATTATATGAAGCTGACGGTATAGAGCAAGGGTCTTCAAACTTGGCAAGTTTAAGACTTGTGGACTTCAACTCCCAGAATTCCTGAGCTAACATGACTGGAGGAGGAATTCTGGGAGGTGAAGTCTACAAGTCTTAAAGCTGCCAAGTCTGAAGACCCCTGGTATAGAGGAGCAGTGTCTAAAATGAAGGGATTTAACCTATCTTAAATATTTTTCATATTCTGCCGAATTTTGTTCATGAGCAGCATTCTCAGAGAGTTCCATTAGCAAAACCAAGTCAAATTCTAATAAGGAAGTAAAATAAAGAGGATTAAAGTAAATAAAGGGATGCTTAGAAAGTACAAAAAGTCCATTTGGGTGAAGGTTATGTATAATTAACATTGAAATCATGCTGTTCTTTCATATTAATGCAATATTAGAATTGCAGACGATCTGCTTCTGGGTCACACATGGTCATTACTTTCTAATTTAGCCCATCAGATAAATTCTTTATAAAAGACAAAGTGAAAAAGTTGATAAACCATATTTGGTTATATATTTCAGGGAAGTTCCCAGTTCAAGGCCGTGGCAGCAGATTGGTGGGTTGCATTAAACTAAGGAATTGAATGGGGAAGTTGTGTTTGCATAATACTCTCTGGTCCATTTACTTTGCTAATAGTTTTCCAAAGAACAAAAAGATGCCAAAGAATGTCCTTGGAACACTTGTGTATGTAATTTCTCTCTTTCTCTCTCCGAGTTTTGTTTGATTGGATATTGTTTGGATTTTGTATATCTAGCTTCCTATAGTCAATAAGCCTACACATTACTGTCTTTTCTAGAACAGTTGTGTTTGCTTTTTTCCTGTTATATTTTTTATTTCATCTCAATCCCCTGTTCTAATTTGATCTCAAGTTAAATATGGGCTACAGAAGACAGAGATGGGCTCAGTTTCTGGTTCTGAATGGTGGTTCTCACTAATAGAGGTAGTCCTCGACTTATGACCACAACTGAGCCCAAGTTTTTTGTTGCTAAGTGAAACATTTGTTAAGTGAATTTTACTCCATTTTATGACCTTTCTTGCCACAGTTGTTAAGGGAATCAATGCGGTTGTTAAAAAATAACACGGTTGTTCAGTGAATCTGGTTTTTTCCCATTGACTTTGCTTGTTAGAGGGTTGTAAGAGGGGATCACGGGACCCTGGGGCACTACAACAGTCATAAATGTGAGTCAGTTCCCAAGTGTCTGAATATTGATCATGTGACCATGGGAGTGCTGCAATGGTTGTAAGTGTGAAAAACGGGTCATGTCACTTTTTTCAGTGCCGTTGTAACTTTGAATGATCACTAAGTGAACTGTTGTAAATTGAGGACTACCTGCATTTCCTCCTTTCAGTAGAATATATTCAAGTAAAGCTGCCTTTTGCAATTGACTGACTGGTGATTGGCAATTGGTGACTTTGTCAGTGCTGATGGTGTTAGTGGTACTCCGGTTGTTTTGGGATTGCACTCAAGCACCTATTATTATTGGCACCATCTTTGCTTTCTTTTGCCACAGTTGTTCTATTTCTATTTGCAGGTCTTTGTATTTTGTCCATTTTTTCCCTTCTATTCTGTTGTCTCCAGCACTATCCACTATCCAGATTTATTTGTCTTCATTATCAACACTTGTTAATATTATTATTTTATCCTGCATTTTTAACATAAAATTTAAAGCATACTTAATTTTCTTGCCTCCTATTTGCCCACAACAATCTTCTGAGGTAGACCAAAATTTTTAATGGCATTTATATCCTGTATTTTACTGTTCAGCCATTGATCATATATATGGTTGAAATTAAGGGTAATAATAATCATCACTGCCCAGGGTAGTAATAAGCCAGTCAGGTCTTAGCGTAAAATTGTCACTGCAGCAGAAACAGCATCAAAAATTTGGAGAAATAGAACTGTGTAAGATTGGCACCAAGTCAGGGAAGGAGTTCCTAGTGGAACTTTGTCCCATCATCAGTTGTGGTACTTAGGAGACCATTTCCTCCTCCCAGTGCTGTCTATCCATCCTGTGAGATATGGCAGGAGAGGCATGCTTTGTATCCTGTCTGTGAAAAGGTGTCACCTGTCAGCATCCAAGAGGGCAGTCATTTTGTGCTATGACTCACATCCTCTGGAACAACAACATCTCTCTCTCTCTCCCGGCCACGCTGCCCTTTTGCAGGGCATAAAAACCTAGTTTTGTCATTAATCCCGTATCAACCCGCACAATCCCGTATCATCGGTTGTGTTTTCTTAGCTGTTATTTTTATGTTGTTTTTGTTTTGGCTGTTTTAGTGATGTTTCACTATTTATATTCTGTTTTAATTGTGTTTTAATTGTGAGCTGCCAAGAGTCATGTATATGAGATGGCAGCCTATACATTTTTAACATCATCACCGTCACCATCCATTTTTCCCCACTGATGAGGATTCTCCCTAAAACTCTACCCAAAACTCTACCTCATTAACCTTTTTTTCTTTGCAACTGCTGAACCACAGTACAACTACACTCAGTTTCCTAAATAATGCTGAAGAATGATTTTTGCAGCAGCTCTTAGCATCCCTTGGGTCTTATTTCCTGTAAAAACAAATGTAATGAAACAAGGACAGAAACAGGATGCTGGATTCTGATTTGGTATGGATTCAGAAATGTTGTTTTCCAGGAATTGGACCAGTCAAGTAACAGGAGAAATTACAAACACCCACAGACATTGAATCAACTTGATAAGAGACAGAGTATCTGGTGGGTGGAGTACTGTCAATGATTTTGATCCATTCAGATTTTGGCACAGAGTGAATTATCTCCAATGCCTCAGAGGCATTCTTAAAGCAATGCCAACTTTATTTTGGCATTCCTTTTGATTTATTTAGTTACATGAATCTTTTTATGCTGTATCATAGGGATGGGACCCAGAACTGTGGCTTTCCTGCTGAATAACCAAGTAATCCTTAATTATTCCCTGCATTGCAGATGTCGATGAATGCGCAACTGAATCACATCAGTGTAACCCTACCCAAATCTGCATCAACACTGAAGGAGGATACACTTGTTCCTGCACTGAGGGATACTGGCTTTTGGAAGGCCAATGCTTAGGTAGGTTAACATGGGATGGTGTGATGACCCAGGGTGTAACACAAACGTAACAAAATCCAAAACGTAAATAAATGTCCTTTAATTCCTCCAACTTGGCCCCATTGTTCAATAATACTCAGTTGGAGATAAAACATACTCAAAAATAGTCTTCAAAAGAAAGCAATACAGTCCAAATTTAATGAGCAGATAGAGGTGAAATAAAAAACCAAACAAACTACAATTATGAAATTTCCACAATGGAACAAGAGAAGTATTTACCAAATTCAAGGAGATAACAAGACACAGTCTGTTGGAAGCACACCAACCAAGATAACTTCAGACCAAAATAAAACACGCTTTGTTTCCAGCATTTGCCAGTACGCAGGTCCAAACTCTTATTCAGTTCTCACACTTGCAGCCCATGAAGAGGATCAAGGCCCTCTCCTCCCGAGGAGACCATGTCTCTCCCTTATTCTCTCCTCCCTACATGCCCTAGGATGGACAGGGGATGGGCCTGGGTCCTCCTCTGACTGCTCAGCCGCCCTCTGCCCTTCCCCAGCCTACTCCACAACCTCTGGAGGAGCCACATTTCCACTCTCTGTCGGCTGTTCCTCCTCTCCCTCAGAGTCAGTCTCCACCAGGGGCATGACAAATGGGCTTCTCTTAGAAATTGCTGTCTGGAATTCTTACATGATTCCCAGAAGAAATATCAGTGACCCTCCCACTTCAAAGCTCCACTAAAGAGTAAGGATAATTTGGGAAAAGAAGGGGGGAGTTAACGTTACAATTGGAGTTGAGAAAAGTAGTTTATGATTTCCTTTCAAAACAGGTAGTCCTCATTTAGTAACCAAAATTGGGACTGGCAACTTGGTCCTTAAGTGAAATGGTGACTAAGTGAAAGTGTGACTGTGCTTGCCTTATTTCAGCTTTTTTTTTTCATTATAAGCCTGCAAAATCACTTTTCATCACTGCGGTAACTGTGAATGGTTGCTCAATGAGGCAGTTGCTGAATGAGGACTACCTGTAACGACTTGAGAACTTCTTGAGAGTGTTTCTTCTTGCTATTACTACTGAATGTCTCTCTCCAGATTCTGTCCATATTCCAAGGGACATAAACGGCATCAAGAGATTAACATATTTTCCTCTCTTGATTAGGGTGGAAAACATTCCCTTTACTTATTTAAGTAATATTTTATACCAGCACATAGCCAAATTATGGTGTTACATTGGCAAACAGTACTGTCATATTCATGACATGTTTATCAATTGATGAGATCGTGAATTTCAACTATAAAGTGGAATTTTAAAAAATGTTATATGAAAGGGCATGAAATTTGGGTGATCTTTTAAAAGCCCCCCAAAACATGTGAGCTAGATCAATCATTATCAAAAGAATAAACTGGCTGAAACACTAGGAAAGTTCTATAATGGGTTCTTTGCTTTGAATGCATTGCTTTTGTTGGCTGTGATTGGTTTTTCCAGCTTTTTAGGTCTCCTTTGAACTTTTGCAGTGGTCTAAGTTCCAGCTGATTTCATCAGATGGTGAAATACATTAGTACAGTCTAACAACCTTACTGGGAACAGCAGATAGCTGGCTTCTCTCCCTACAGAACAATTTCCTGTCACATTCTTCTGCTCATCATATAGTCATGATGACCAGACTGTGTATCTGTCCATCTGTCTATTATCTATCTAACTCTCATCTCTCTCTCTTCCCCCCTCTCCCTCATCTATGAGTGAGCAAGGAGTTTCATTTCATTCCTTTTTCTGCTGCATCGTGCTTTTAAATTGCAATTACATTTAAATTGCAAGTGATTATTCTATTCTTTCTACAGAATGAAACAAAATCTTTAGAATACTCCACTTATTATTTTCCTTTATATTGGTGCCAAATCAAGTGCCTTTAAGTAAGCACTTAACTGAAATTTATATTGGTCAATTGCCCTGCTACACAGATTGCTGGATGTGGATTCCTATATGCACCAAGTAAAAATATGATATATCACCCTTTTTACCATCCTGAAGCCTCCCTATCCAAGGTATTCAGCCTTGTCTTATGTATTTTGGATCTCATTCTGTCTAGGGGATGAGTTCAGGATTTGCTTGGATTTTCATAGTTTCGTGATAACTTTGAGTTTATTCCAAATCATTATGGACTCAGCATATATAAGGAGTCACTCTTGGGCTCCAGCTTTGGAATAATGAGAATGTGTTCTGGGTATGGGGAACCACCTCATTTTTAGTCATGCTGACTATGGTTTCTATGAGGCTAATTGGCACCATCAATTTCTGCAAAGAGAAGGTAACAAGCAAGAGGACCTGCCCCAACTTCCTTATGGACCCTTTCCCAATAATCAAGCAGACATGGGGGGAGCCATCATTTAGTCATGGGGGGAAGCCAATCTCTGGGATATGAAGGAACAAAAGTACATTTATTTATTTTTTATTAGGTGTTTGCTTCATCCTTCTCAAATTATCAAATTATCCTTATGAAAGTAAGATACTATATTTCTTTTTTAGAGAGGATTAAGAAGGTGTAGAGCAGGGGTAGTCAACCTTTTTATACCTACCACCCACTTTTGTATCTCTGTTAGAAGTAAACTTTTATCTAATCGCCCACCGGTTCCACAGTAATGGTGATTTATAAAGTAGGGGACAAAACCCCTACTGCCCACATGAAAGCTGGAATGCCCACTAGTGGGCGGTAGGGACCAGGTTGACTACCACTGGTGTAGAGCAACGTTTACAACTAACTGAATTATTTGGACTTTTTCATGGCCCTGTCCTGTCTTTTTATTTTTTAACATTAGGAGAAATCATTCATTGATTTGGGCTCCCAACATATGGCTGATATTCAATTTTACATCTCCACCACAGGCCAAGCAGGAGATGTCCTGGAGTCACTATGCTGTGCTTGGAGGCTAGAGAGGATGGTATAGGCCTAAATAAATCCTAGCAAGTTACTGTTTGATTAGAAAAACTCAGGCTCCAGAACTCTTCCCTCTTTAGCTCTGGACCGGGGTTTTACTATCTTGTAGGATCAAGTCTGCAACTTGGGACCCCCTCTTGACTTGTGGCTACTTCTGCAATAGCAGTTAGAAGCCATGACCAGGAAGGAATAGACTAGTACACTCCTTGAAGCCTCTTCTGGATACAAAGCTCTAATAGCTCATGACCGCATCATTTCATACTGACATGTGACTGTGATCTTTTATGGTGGAAACTTGAACTCTCAGCCCCAGGTTGAAAAACAGTGAACTTCCAACCTTATATTTGATCCAAGTATAGCAATATATTACATTTTGAGGGGGAAAATACCTCTATTTGAAAGAAAAATCTATCATGACTTGTTTACAGGAAATAGAGAGAAATGTTTTCTAGTACTATCTTCCGTCAACTGTCAAAATAACTGAGGTGCTGGGAAAGGTAAACCATGCATATAATCAGAGAATTTTCCATGAAAAACTGTTGGAATCATCCAAAAGGCACTCTTGGAATAGAGTAACTGACTTTTAAATTATTGGCAAAAAATAAAAACAGTCTAGGATGCAACCAATCATAAAACTAGAGAAATTGCAGAGTCAAAACCAAATTAAAGGAGTATGTAGGGAAATGATTAGGTGATAGAATTATTTTTCTTCTTTTCTTGAATGACAAAGAAAAAAAAATCTGTAATCCTACATCAGAATTGTTGATTTCAACTCTAGAAAATAATGAATTTATCTTTTGGGCATACTTGTGTCTTTATCATTACAAAAAAGACATAAAGTAATCCTTTCTGGCTGCAATTCCTATAAATACATCTGCTTTTTTAAATTTCTGAAATTGTCTTATAATGTAGGTGAAAATATTGCAGTGGATGACTGTAAGAATGCCAAAAGCCAGTCTTGGTTGTTGAATTTTGAATTTTAATTGTATTAAATATAAGCATGAAAAAAAGAACATTTAGGACTAACATTTGTATCTTCATATCTCAGCCCAGCTGTGTTATGCTTATCAGAAGCTCAGATAGGTATTTTGCTTATTGCCAGTCAAAGTTCCTGACAGAGAATTTGCAGTATGGCCAAAAACGATCTGTGCTTCAGATGAACATGTCAAACAGTTTGATCTCTGCTTGCATGATTTGAATTAGGCTAAAAGCAAATACAGTGCAGTTATAAAGAAGGTGTTGATGCCACTTGCCCTGCTGAACAGGACTGTAAATGAAATGAGATTGCAGTATTTGATGAAATAAAATTGTGCATGCAATCTGATAACAACATAACTATTGATTATACCATAATTATTTAAGGTCTGTTAATAAATATTGTTAAGTGATATTAGCTTCTATTTTTTTCCCAATGTGGCAAATGGTTTCACTTCTAATTCAACTCTTTTACTAGACATAGATGAATGTCGCTATGGATACTGTCAGCAGCTATGTGCCAATGTACCTGGCTCCTATTCCTGTACCTGCAACCCAGGATTTGTACTGAATGAAGATGGAAGATCGTGTCAAGGTATTGTGTAGAGGAGGGATGAGGGAGAAAAAGCAGGAATTCATGTCAATGTTCATATAACATACTACCAAGTTCCAAGAGCACCAAGGAGCCCTCATTTCAACCCTCAGCTACAAATGTTCACATAAGATTATGAATATATTTGTCCCAGCAACTTTATACCTTTTCACTTTTTGAAAATATGTCATCAGAATAATGTAATTATTCTATAATTAACTATATTAATATAGAATCATTCACAACAAACAAACAATTAAAGGCATTAAACTCCAACTTGTATGTATATATTTACACTTGCAGGCTGGAAAGGCCTAGATGATATGACTAATGCTTACTGGGCACTGAAAGCCACTCCAACACCTATATTTATTGCTACCTTTTTAATTATATACTGAGGTTGTATGTTCCACATTTATAACCTTTGCTTTTTCCTTTTGGAAAAAAGAAACTCTCTACACCAGTAAAAATTGGATTCTGTATATAAAATGGTTCTTAAGCAAGTTCAAAAATGGGTCATTGGTCATGAGCACTAAGGGAATATTTATTGGTAGAATTCCATTTTATGTCTTGAGCTGTAGAATAGTTTTTCAGGGAATGAATTCAGCTTTAAGATAGAAAAAATCATATTTCAAACTGGCTATGTTATAAACGTTATGAACCATGGAATTAATAAATCAGAAGGAATTATATGTGAGACTTCTCCTTTCCCACCAACGATCACAGGATTTCTGCTCATAAATGGAAGGACTCTCTGATTGGCCTGCATTTCCCCTAGGTCCAGTACTACATATTTAGTAGTAACTTCTAATAGCATGTACTGTATAATACTTAAAACCACAATTATGGTTGATTTATTGTACTTGGGGCAATACAATGCATTCACATGCATTCATGTTTCAATGCTTGTATTAGTTTCCAATGTTGTTTAGGCATTCACGTTGTTAATGTTGAGAAAATTGGGAAAAAAATTCTTTTACCCCAATCTGTTTATCCTAAACTGACTTTTTGAAATATCTGTCTCTACATGAGAAAAAAAAGGGGCACTGTCTCTTAAGAAGAGAGAGTAAATAACTGATACACATGTGCCAGATTGTAATCACGATTTATAGTTTTATACACATACACACACACACACACACACACATATCTTTATCAAAAGTTGGTTGCTTTTGATTAAAGTTGGTTACATTTGGCTAACCAACAGGTGATCTGGAAGGCCAACCAATGGGGTCAAAGTTTGCTACGTTGCTGAAGATACTCATCTGTGGACTAATAGCAGATAAGAAACACAAATTCAGATCTCCTGTATGAAGATTGGAGTACTGTATGTGATTATTTTGGAACAGAACAAAACAGAAATAAAGAGGGGTCCTAAAACTAAGATCCCATGATTTTGAGGGTGGGAAGTAGTTATATTATTACTTTAAATGTCTAAGAGTAAGCTTTGATTTCAGTATTTATTGTAGATTTTTTTTTCAAAGCTGTAAATATTAATTAAAGCTTGAGAAAGATAATTAATTTTCTAAGAACTGGCTATCCACAGATGTAAATGAATGTACAAGTAGCAACCCTTGTGTACAAAACTGTATCAACACCTATGGCTCATTCCTTTGTCGTTGTGATCCTGGCTATGAGTTGGAGACCGATGGTATTAGCTGTACTGGTAAGTCGAAATTATTGTGGAGCATTATGATTTTGGGAGGAAATAAACTTTTTTTGGAAGCAGGGAGTAAACATGCTTTCTCACTTAACACTGAAGATAGGAATTCTGAAACTGTGACATAAATAAGAAAATTAATTCTTATAATATTGGAAATATTCTTGCAATAATTAGAAGCAATTAGTATCTTGAACATAGGCATATATTCAATGTTCAATAATTCCATATAATTCCACAATACAGTACAATCTAATGTTAGAAAAAGGAAACCAAGCTTTGGGAAGAATGCATGCTGAAAGAAATTCTCAATTCTCAATTGAGAACTGAATCAAATGGAAAAATTCTGTATCTAATAATAGTGGGGCAATTTGATGTAGTGGTTAAAGTCACTGGGCTTGAAATGGGAAAGCTGTGAATTCTAATTCAGATGAGTGACCTTGGGCCAGTCATTTTCTCTTAGCCCTAGGAAGAAGGCATTGGCAACTCCCTTCTGAAGAACATTGTCAAGAAAACTGAAGGGACTTAACTATATAGTTGCCAGATGTTTAGATTGACTTGAAGACACACACAAAGTAACTGTAAGCATATACAAATAGCACATGTTTTCTTCAGTTCTAATCATAATTTTATTTTGTTCTAAAAATATTTCGATTCTAAACATAAACTATAATGGGTTAGAAATCCCCATCAGCTAAAAAAATTGTGTATGTATAAAAATACAATTTATAGTGTACCCATTGGTGCTGAGGACTGGACAATTCCTCCCTATAAACAGGACACTCTGACAATTTGTCTGGGGACAGAGCACAAACCAACAATACTGAACTTGGATCTGTTGCATGCAAAGCCACCTATCTAACAGGTCCATCCAGAACTGGGCCTCTCCTTTATATCAGCATATTAACTCTATCCCTCTGGTGGGGTGTGATTTAGGGAGGAATGAGAAAAATTTATAAGCACAAAGACAGATGCATCTCTAATAATCTCCTTCCCTAGTGGGTATAACCCAATATTTTTTTTGAATTTTCATACTTAATTATTATTTGTATTTCATATTTCTGACTTCATGTTCATCCCCAGTTTGGGGAATCAGATATCATTTTGCAGAACTGATGAAGTGGATTCCAATTCATGAAACTCTATGCCATAGTAGACACATTAATCTTATGCCCAGGATTATAGCCATGTGTATTTTGTTGCACTGATGGTACATAACATTCTCAGTTACAGAATGTTGCTTGGTTTTCAGCAGTGAAACTGAAATCAGCCTGTGTTCTTGCCACAAAAACTTCTAAAAATGACCACTTGAATCAATTAATTTGAGCCCACAATAGCAGCAAAAATTATATAATTATATTTGGGAAATTATGGGTTTTTTGTTTAGTATGAAAATGATATTCTGAAAAATCCATTGTGCCTGTTTAAATGAAAATGTCTATTCAAGCAATGCCAAAAAAAAAAAAAAGAATATTGAGCCAGGGTGGAAATTTTCTTTCTTCCGATTTACTATAAGTAACTGTTAATTTTGCCTCCTGGAAACTACAAGAGCATGTGTAGAAAGTTATTTTAAACCACTCCAGGATCCAGACCTAGAGAAGGATATCTGACTTTTCTTCATCTTCCTATATTAGCATTTTTTCCATGGTGTTGCACTGGATCAAGAATTAGCACAACTCATTCTAAACACTTATTTTTGACACATCACTCCAGGATAAAGCTGCTTGTTTTCTTTATTGGGGCAAATAACGAATATAAATATATCATTTACATTCCTTTTTCCAGAATCTGGTTTCATTAGTTATACAGTCCGAGGATTACTATATCTATGTGCCAAACTTCAATGCTTATATTACTTTTTATTTGAAAAAATAATTCACCCTACTTGCTCAAAGATCTTAAACAATGTTCTTTTGTTTAGCACTCTTTAATGTCTTCGACCCATTTTCATTCATAAATTTAGGAATTGGTGCATATAAATGTCATTCTTTCTTAAACGTAAGAGTGGTAAGTAAAACAAAATCTATATCAATGTGGTTGTTTATGGTCCACAAGAGAACTGAATCAAGCTGTCAACAATGGTTTTAGGTTAGGGTTAGGGTTAGATTTAATTCCAGGAGCCCCAAAATGAAAGAAAATGCAATGGACTGTCTTGACTTCCTCTCCCCTATTATTGTCAAAAGATATTAGTGACTTAAACTATTATTGTCTTTTTTCCCACTTGAATTAAAATGTTTTTGGCCTCTTTTCCCTAAATGTATCAAGTGACACAAATTTGGATCTGGATTCCATCAAAATTGTGAAGATTGCATAATCATTGCAACATTGTAAAATTCTTTACTTGAGTAGCCCTTCGCAGAAACTACATTGAATTATTTATGTTCACAAGATTTTTGTGTTTTTTCTAAAGTGATATACTCCAGATTTGCTGAAAATTAAGTTCCAAGAATTGCCAGCCAGCATGAGCACATTAGGAGGGTACCAGGTTTTGGAACCATGTTTTACAGAATAATTTATACAAAATAGAATCCCTCTTCCAGGAGAGAATGTTTTAGAAATCTTGTGAATCACAAATGCAAGATATTAGTAGATAAAATGTAAACAGATTGCGAATTTATTTGTAAATGAATTCTGTAAGCAGACAAGAGAAAAATGTTTAGGAAAATTAAAATTAGTATTTTAGGAAATTATACTATATAATGAGAATATGATATGTAGAAATGCACCATCAAGACTGATAGAATATGGAAAGTTATTTCTTTATGCAGGCTTATATAAGATTATATGGTAAGTTGACATTTTCTATGAGCCTGACCCCAACTGCAATCCAAACAGCTACGAAGCATCTTTAAAACAATTTTTCAGGAGCTTTAATTGGTATTAGCTAATAGCAATTATAGATAACAAGTAATAGCATTTCTATCAACAATGAGCAAACTTTTTTTCCCTATTCTTACATTTGTAGATATGGATGAATGCAGCTTCTCAGAATTTCTCTGCCAGCATGAATGTATTAATCAGCCAGGGAGTTACTACTGTTTCTGCCCATCTGGCTATGTTCTTGTTGAGGATACTCGATGTCAGGGTAAGAATATTCCATACATTTTGTCTTTTAAATATAATTAGAGGGCAAATAAGTTAGTAGTTAGTCTTCTGGAAATTTTAGAAATAATAGTAACGCATAACGGAATCAGATTTTGCAAACTTTATTACAAAAAGATAGCATTGAAAGCTATTACACAATGTCACTGAAGCATAACTAAGTGAAAAATGTTAATGGATTTTCTGGCTAACCAACTATTTTCCAGAGCAGCTAAAGGTCACTTAATGCTATTACACTTTTCTACACATATTGTATTTTGTATATTGCATCGTATTTTGCAATAGGGAAGGCTTTTATGGAGAAAACTGATTCTATACTAATTGCATTCTTATTTACTAGCTATGAATAGCAGAGGACTTTTTAAACATTCTGCAAGTATTTTGTGGCTGCAAAACTTTTCTTGTTGCATCGAGAGAGCACATTTCAAAAGAACTGTTGATTGACTTACCTGGCAGAACTAAGCTTTTATAACACAATTTCCTTTTCAGTAGTTTCCTTACCCTTTTGTGTTTGTTTGCTGAGTTTAAGCTGGGTATAAATACATAGCCTTCATGTGGGTATAACATATCATACCAGTAGTTCATAAATGTTCTATTTCTTATTTAGGAAGAGAACAAAATCAGTAAGCTTGTTGTCTGTCTTCCTCCAAAAAGCAATGCAATTGGTGTAGCTAATGAAATACAGATAAGTAGATTTACAGACAACCAATTGTTCATACATTATATCCAAACTGAGAAAGGATAGTATAAGACTTATAGTGAAAACTCAGTTTCTAGCAAGAGCACTCACAGGCTATGGTTAAAAAGTCAAGATGTCAGCCACCATCGTACAAAATTCCATCTGGTTTTGTTGTTTTTATTTTGTATGTATTTTTTTATTTTTTTATCAAGTCATTGTGACCATCATCTTGATCTTTTTTTTTTTGCCACATCATGGGGACTCTCCTGACCTGTGGAAATGTTAAATGAGAGCCAGTCTTATATAATAATTAAGTGTTGGGCTAGGAATGGAAAAACCCAGGTTTTAGTGTAGCTTGAAAGTTGTAGTGTACCTATCAAAATTGCAAGGCCAGTCACCCTCTCTAAGCCAAACCCACCTCACGGGATATATATAAGAGATGATGTAGAAATTTGATAAATTAAATAAAAAATAAAATATGGGAAACATAGGGGAAGTGCCATGCATGCTGCCTTGAGTTCCTAAATGAAAAATGGGGTATAAATAACATTTTTTATGAAAGCTGTGTGTTCTAAATGCTTATTTTTAATATAATTATTTGTTGTATTTCTGTACCACTTTTCATTTAAAAAGTTGAAATTAGCAAAAAAATATGCTAAAAAGAGGTGAAAATTACAATAGAAATACAAAAACTCTGAAATGATAATTGCCCTCATCTGTCCACACTCCCTATTTACCACTACAAACTGGAAAAATAAACATATATACACTGCTCAAAAAAATAAAGGGAACATAAAAATAAGACATCCTAGATCTGAATGAATGAAATATTCATATTAAATACTTTGTTCATTACATAGTTGAATGTGCTGACAACACAATCACACAAAAATTAACAATGGAAATCAAATTTAGCAACCCACAGAGGTCTGGATTTGGAGTTACACTCAAAATTAAAGTGGAAAAAAACACTACAGGCTGATCCAACTTTAATGTAATGTCCTTAAAACAAGTCAAAATGAGGCTCAGCAGTGTGTGTGGCCTCCACATGCCTGTATGACCTCCCTACAATGCCTGGGCATGCTCCTGATGAGGTGGTGGATGGTCTTCTGAGGGATCTCCTCCCACACCTGGACTAAAGCATCCCCAAACTCCTGGACGGTCTGCTGCAACGTGGTGTTGGTGGATGGAGTGAGACATGATGTCCCAGGTGTGCTCAATTGGATTCAGGTCTGGGGAACGGGCGGGACAGTCCATAGCATCAATGCCTTCATCTTGCAGGAACTGCTGACACACTCCAGCCACATGAGGTCTAGCATTGTTGTGCATTAGGAGGAACCCAGGGCCAACCACACCAGCATATGGTCTCACAAGGGGTCTGAGGATCTCATCTCGGTACCTAATTGCAGTCAGGCTACCTCTGGCGAGCAAATGGAGGGCTGTGTGGCCCCCTAAAGAAATGCCACCCACTGACCCACTGCCAAACCGGTCATGCTGGAGGATGTTGCAGTCAACAGAACGTTCTCCACGGTGTCTCCAGACCTGTCATGTTTGTTACATGTGCTCAGTGTGTACCTGCTTTCATCTGTGAAGAGCACAGGGTGCCAGTGGCGAATTTGCCAATCTTGGTGTTCTTTGGCAAATGCCAAATGTCCTGCATGGTGTTGGGCTGTAAGCACAACCCCCACCTGTGGATGTCGGGCCCTCATACCACCCTCATGGAGTCTGTTTGTGGCCCTCTGGAGGTCATTTTGCAGGGCTCTGGCAGTGCTCCTCCTGTCCCTCCTTGCACAAAGGTGGAGGTAGCGGTCCTGATGCTGGGTTATTGCTCTCCTGCGGCCTCCTCCATGTCTCCTGATGTATTGGCCTGTCTGTCTCCTGGTAGCGCCTCCATGCTCTGGACACTACGCTGACGGACACAGCAAACCTTCTTGTCACAGCTCGCATTGATGTGCCATCCTGGATAAGCTGCACTACCTGAGCCACTTGTGTGGGTTGTAGACTCCGTCTCATGCTACCACTAGAGTGAAAGCACCGCCAGCATTCAAAAGTGACCACACCATCAGCCAGAAAGCATAGGAACTGAGAAGTGGTCTGTGGTCACCACCTGCAGAACCACTCCTTTATTGGGGATGTCTTGCTAACTGCCTATGCTTTCCCCCTCTTGTCTATTCCATTTGCACAACAGCATGTGAAATTGATTGTCAATCAGTGTTGCTACCTAAGTGGACAGTTTGATTTCTCAGAAGTGTGATTGACTTGGAGTTACATTGTGTTGTTTAAGTGTTCCCTTTATTTTTTTGAGCAGTGTATAAACATACATATTTGTCAAAATTATGTTCATATGATTTTCTCTAAGATATCCAAGATAGGCAGATCTAGTTATCTAGCTTAAAATCTAGCCTATCTTAGTACTATATTATGAACTCATATTCAATAACATGGAATGAACTTGAGTGAACTCGCCTCATAAGGATCAATCAGCCATGAGAGTTTAACTACTGTAAGTCTCCATAAATTCAACTGGTTATATTGACAGACTGGTTGAAAGAGGCTGCAAACATATAAGAGGCCAAATTACAAAAGTAGGGATCCTTTATTGATGTCTGAGAGTCTTCTCTCCTAAATTCTTCACTTTATAGTAAAATCATGTTCAAGTTATGCCTTCAAACCTTCTTTTAAAGTATCTTCCTAGAATGTGACAAAAAGTCCACAGAGTTAAAAATCTAGTACAGTTTGTAGAAATTTCCAAGTGGGTTGGTGAGTTTGCTCCTTATGTTTAGTATTTCTACATGTAAGATTGGCCTTGTCAGATTCTATCTTATCTACAATACATGTAACAATTATTAATATATCCCTCTCATCTGGTGCATTCCAACGTATAATAATTGGCCAAAAGTAATTTCTTTTTGCCAAAAATATACTGGCTTACAAACTGGAAAATATATTTCAAGGCTGTGCAGTACATGAGATTACCCAGATATTTCACAAATTATGCTATAGTTTTCCCCAAGAGCAAGCAAGTTCCAGTTTGGTCTCTTAAGGTTTCATTATTCCAGTCATTTGTGACCTGTTCTCTTTTCTGTGAAGCATATTTCATTTATACAAAGTGTTTGTTCTCCTGCACAGATGAACATTGTGCAGAAGGCTGGTCCTAGATCTACTTTGGCTATAAAAGCCACTAAACATATTTCAACTATTAGTTCCCAATGCCTGACAATAGCAGTTAGTAAGAAAACAAGCATTTTTGTTTTTAGTTTGCTAAAGACAAGAGATACAGTGATGTTTTTTTTTTAAATACACTACTATACAGTATGTGAAAAATCATCAGAAAAAAAAAATCATCAGAAAATCATCAGAGAAGTGAAAGAAATTATGTGGTTTTTGTAACCAATGTTAAGTAACCTCTTTAGAAATCTAATCCTTCTCAAAATCTGAAGTAAAGCTGTGTTCATTCAATGCTTTTTGTTGCATTGAAAGTTCAAATCCAATGGTACATGTCCTACTGACCACAAGTGGGCAACAGGTAGATAAAAAGTTAAGGTCTCTCTTCTGTCTTTATTGCTCTACTTGCTCCTTATTTAAGAGATTGCTTTATTTATTTAGTGTATGTAAGAAAAGTCTACACATACTAGACACAATGCAGTCCTGACAGCCTAGATTGCTAGTTTATTCCATTCAGCACTTGTGCACCTAGCCTTGGTGCACTGCAGGGACAAACTATCTTTACACCAATTAGCTAGCAGTGTTCAGGTTGCTGGCTATTCCAGGCTTCTCCACCGGTCTCACCTTGCCTCGTCTCACAATGCATTTCATCTAGCCAGGTCCAGTGCCAGCTTCTGCTTTCCGCACCCATGAATGCAGTTAAGTGCCAATCTGAGACCTCTCTTCTGCCTTACTTCCTAAACGAACTCAGAAAAAGCATTTTTTTTAAATTTTCCTATTAATAAATCTCCTTTCCTCTATTATAAAATTGGCTGTGCTGATCATTGTTCAGTTATGGTTCTCACACATCAGAAAGTTTCACTGTCCAATATTATGCATAATGGAAATTTGTTTTATTTTCCTCATCACATCTCACCAGCCCTTTGAAGATCTCTAGACTTCAGTGTATAATTTCATTTGAGTCTCCTAATAGTTACATCAGATGGATGAAGTTGTGGGTGCATAAGCTCCCTAAGGATGCCAATAAGCTTCGTAGTGATGAAATTCAAATCCAAATTTTAAGGGTCCATTTCCAACATCCCTATCTGTTAGTCTCCACATCTGTGTTAGATTTATATCAGATGATATTGCTATCATTGTTAACTGAAAGCAGGAATTAAGATCCAATATACCCCAAGACCACCGAACATTGGGCAACGGTTTGGAAAAGATTCCCTTACACATACTCAATGTCATATTATGGAAAGGGATTATCTGATAGGACTGCTGAATATTGCAGTCTTAAACCCTACTCACTTAAAACATCCCAGTCTTTATGGCAGACATTCAGACTACAAATTGCAAGATTCAGCCAGACTTTGTATCATATACAAAAGAATCACATTAGTTGTGTCCTCTTTGTTGGATTCATAAAATTTAAGGCTTGGAAATTTGGGACATCAAGGAAGAAAACATATTCAGGACACTATTAAAGCCAACCTCTTTAACACATTCTTTGGCTCAGTATTTGTAAACAGCAATGGATCATGCCCAGTATTTCCTAGCCGAGCCACAGACAACTACAATGATCTAATACATATTGTTTTTACAGAAGACAATGTTGAAAAAGCACTACACAATCTAAAACCATCCCTATCTATTGGACCGGATGGAATATGTGCCTACTTCTTAAAAAAGCTATCCACTGCCATAGCCGAACCTCTAAGCATAATCTTTGAAAAATCTTTCAAGACCAGCTCCTTGCCTAACCTATGGTCACAAGCCACAGTCATCCCCATCTTCAAAAAGGGAGACCCCAGCCTAGTTGAAAATTACAGACCAATCTCCTTATGCTGCATCTCCTGTAAAGTCATGGAATCAATTATTAACCAATCCATTATCCTCCACTTAGAGACAAACAACCTACTCTCTAATAAACGATTTGGTTTTAGGAAAAAGCTATCATGTAATCTGCAACTCTTACACTACAAAAACATATGGATTACACAACTCGATCAGGGCAAAGCAATAGACACAATTTACATAGACTTCTGTAAAGCCTTTGATTCAGTGGTATGTGACAAACTGCTCCTAAAACTAAAATCTTATTGTATCTCTGGACACCTGCATAACTGGATAGAAGTATTCCTGTCAAACAGACAACAAATGGTCAAAATTGGGAGCGTCCTATCAAATTCTGTACCTGTCAACAGTGGTATCCCCCAAGGCAGTGTTCTAGGACCAACTCTTTTCATACTCTACATAAATGACCTCTGTGATCGTATAAAGAGCAGCTGCATTCTCTTCTCTGATGATGTAAAGCTATTCAATACCACAGACAATACTGCTACCCTTCAAAGAGACCTTGACTATGTATCAGAATGGTCAAACAAATGGCAACTTCAAATCTCAACAAATAAATGCTCTGTCCTACATATTGGCAAAAAAAAAATCAGAAAATAAAATTTAGGCTGAATAGTCAAGACCTTTTTGTTGATCCAAACTCTGTCAAGGATCTTGGAGTACTCATCTCAAATGACCTCAGTGCTAGAGCTCATTGTAACTACAAAGCCAAAAAGGCGTTAAGAGTTGTTAACCTAATCTTACATAGCTTTTTCTCTGGTAATGTTACACTAATAACTAGAGCGTACAAAACATATGCTAGACCAATACTTGAATACAGCTCATTAGTCTGGAACCCACATTACGTATCTGATATTAACACAGTTGAGAAAGTCCAGAAATATTTCACAAGAAGAGTTCTCCACTCCTCTACTCATTGCAGAATACCTTATGCCACCAGACTCGAAATTCTAGAAAACCTAGAACTACGCCGCCTTCGGTCCAATCTAAGTATAGCATATAAAATCATACATTGCAATGTCCTACCTGTCAATGAATACTTCAGCTTCAACCATAACAACATAAGAGCAAACAATAGATACAAATTCAAGGTTAATCACACCAAACATGATTGCAGGAAATATGATTTCAGCAACAGAGTGGTCAATGTCTGGAATACTCTACCTGACTCTGTGTTTTTTTTTCCCAAACCCCAAAAACTTTAACCTTAGACTGTCTACTATTGACCTCATCCCTTTCCTAAGAGGTCTGTAGGGGGTGTGCATAAGCGCACCAACTTGCCTACCGTCCCTGTCCTATTCTTTCTTTTATATTTTATTTTTATTTTTCTTATATGTGTCCATGTATTCATAACTATGTTTTTACTTATACCTATTATCTTGTAAGCAATTGACAAAATTAAAAAAAAAATCAGTGGGATTCCATAGTTTCCCATGGAATTAAGTTAAAAAACATTTTTTTTTAAAAAAGGGATAATCCACTTGAAATAGAGAAAGATCTATTTCAAAACTCTTGTTTTATTTCTTAGATATGTTTTTTAAACAGGAATATTTCAACCTTTCTACTGCAATTTATAATCTTGCTCAGTGCAAAGAATAAGTAAAGTATAATAAATCATTGTATTTGAATGTTGTATTATAGTTGTTTTATTTGAATTGGTGTAGTCTTAAAGAATGAAGGTGTTAAAGGGAGATTGCCAAGTAAGGCAGGGTATGAACTGGCAGCCCAAACCACTGCTATTCAAAGCCAAGAAAGGAGGGTGAGAATATATAGACCCAGAAATGGGAGACCCCAATCTTTCATCCTATGGGCTCCACCCTACAGGGTTTTTTAAAAAAATGTTTTTATTATGAATGAACAATGTGTACTAACACATTTATTAAAGTGCCATATTTTCTATTTTTGTTTTTTTTTCATTTTAGATGTTAATGAATGTGAGGTTGGGAATCATACTTGTAATGTGCAGCAAACATGTTTTAATGTCCAAGGAGGATTCAAATGTCTAGACCCAGTAAGATGCGAGGATCCTTATATCCGGATCAATGAAAAGTGAGTGATTTATTAATAGAAAAAATTAGAGCAATCATGTTATCCAGGAAGCACATTAAACAGTGTAGTGCTTGGTTATTTTCAAATTGCACTTGCTATTTTTGGTTGTTAGCCCTGTTCAATATTGATTTGAGCATGTATTCTCTCATTATTTTTGAGAGATGAACGTAATATGAAATTGACCAATGACTGAAAATATTTATTTCCTAAAGATATCAAAGGATTGGATTGCCACTTGTTAAGTGCATAGTCATTTTCAGATCCAGTTTCTTGCTGTGTAACATATAAAATAGCCAATAACTAAAAATACAGTTTTTATAATATGCATGTCTTTCTAAACTAGCATTTTCAAATATACAAAATATTTGTCAGCATGGTTTGCAATTTTCCATAGTTTCATTCTAAACTCATTCCTTCAAGTTATCTCCTCAGAATGGAAATGTTCAATGTTAAAAACTTACCAAACAGTTCTTTATTGGGTCACCAGGTGGCAGAATAGTCAGCTATTTACAACTGAAATAGAAAAAGTGCTTATGAGCATTTATCATAATCATGTTCTCCTGTAATATATACAGCTGTCTTTAAAATTGAGTTTTTAATTATAGATATTTTATAAGTATGTTATTAATACATTGCTTTCACCCATCTTCTGTTAAGGACCTTCTGTCATCTCTGATCTCTTTTCAATGTTAAAAGTGCAATGTCATATACATAATTAAACACCTAGAGAAAAATGGAAAATAACATTAAACATTAAAAAAACACTAAAAAAACATTAAAAATGTTTCTTCAAGCAATGAAGAATTTAGATTTATGAATTCAAACTCTAAATATTTTGACCATAATTTATGCTGAAATAATTTGCGCATACAAAAGTTAAATAAATTAGGGAATAAAGCTGATATACTTTTTTATTTTCATTTTTTCCTATTGTATATTATATGATAACATGGATCATCATCTTTATTTTTGAAATGAAAACTATCATTTTATGTTCTGCAGTATTTTATTCTTTATTATATTTTCACCTCATTCACTGACCAAGCCTTTGAAAGGTACAGTAGCTCAGTGGCTTAGCGTTTTGCTTCAGTGGTTCAAGTACTAGTACAAGTATTTTGTGGTGAGGTGAACTTCCATCACTTGCCTCAACTTCTGTTCACCTACCAGTTGGAAAGCATGTTATATGTGAGTAGATCAATAGGTACCACTTCGGTGGGGAGATGAGTTGGTGCTTTGTGCAGTCAGTCAGATTCCTGCTGGCTCTAAATTTTCCCAGTTGTGACGCTGTTTGTAAGGTGACTCTGGGGAAGGGTGACACTGCAGGAAACTGTTTATCTTTCTTTCTGGTATGAAGCCGACTGGCCTTCTTGTGGCACACCATGGGAAGCTCGCAAGCATGTCTCACAACAGAGCTGGCAAATTGGTAGCCAAACTACTACTCTGCAATAGCATTGTGGTCTCCTAGATAATGTAACACAATACTCTAATAACAACCACCATCGCCAAATCTTTGGACCATTTGCAAAATGTGTAGATCAATGAAATATAAAACAAAATAGTAAAACATTCAAACATATATATTAAGATGTAAACTATCTCAGTATAAAAATAGCACTCGTGTGATTGCTGTTAAACAACGAAGAAAGTAGCATTCTTATTTGCTTATATTAATTTGATTACAACAGTAAAAATAATATGAGCTATGAAATTAGAGCTAACATAACAGTTCACCATAATGCACCATAATAAATTTGTTAAGCTTTATTAAAATAATATTAAAAATTTCCTAGATCCTTGTAAATCAATAGGTTGATAGATGGACAAAAATGTCAAGTGCAGTCTAAACATTTGGCTAACTATGCAACCGTAGTCAATAATAATAATATTCTTCTCTTTGTTCCATCAGTCATTGTATATGTCCAACTGAAAACCCTAACTGTAGAGACCAGCCATTCACCATCTTGTACAGAGACATGGATGTATCAGGACGTACTGTGCCTGCCGATGTATTTCAGATGCAAGCAACCTCTCGCTACCCTGGTGCTTATTACATCTTTCAGATTAAATCAGGAAATGAAGGCAGAGAATTCTATATGCGGGTGAGTGAGATTTATGAATAGACCCTTCCATTGTCTTCTTTTTAAAATGGTCTGTATTATTTTAAGGTTACTGTTTAAATAGTAAAATCACAAAAATATTCATATTATAAAGAATACTAGATGAGTGCCATTACCTGAGATTTTTTTTAAAAAAAACAGTTCAGACATTCACAGGCAATGTTGTCTGCACTTAGCAAGTACTAGAGATAACATGGAAGTTATCTCCACAACCTGTTTGTGACTTTTTTAGGGAACTATATGCTAACTGGGAAAAAGAAAATTAATTAGATGGAATTTTCACCTTACTCAATATAATCATTTTATTTTTGAGCACTGTAGAATAGGCAGTGAGCCAGAAGAGAGAGCCTTAATTCATTCCAGAACTTGATGCAGTGAATTAAAGTCTTTTCCCCAAGAAGATTATGAAGAGCTAGATGGGGATGCAATTTTAAGGGGCACTTTGACAAAGCAATTTCTGTCCACTCAGACACTTCCATCAGTGAAAAGAAGGAACAAGCAAGGGGAACAATTCAGACATCTATTTCTTTGAAATTAAATTTAAACAATCTTTGAAAACCAAGACTGGCTCCATTGTTTCAAGCTGTGTTTGCAGCTATTGGGAACCAAATCAGGTGAAAAACCAGTTGTTTAAATAATAAATACGATCCTCCTTCCCCATGTCTTTTGACTTCACCCTTTTTTCTTTTGAGCTATTTCCCCAATCTGTTCCTTCCCGCAAGGCAGGGAAATATCCATCTTATTTGCTACTCCAACTCTTGCAGAACATTAGCAGCAGTCAACAAATAAAGTCAATCAAAAGAAGGAACCATAAAAAGCAGCAGTTAATGTAGACAACAGCCCTTTGCATTCATACAGTATTTATTCAAAACTAGATCCACAGAAGTCAAATGGCATCTTGGTTTCCATGCAAACTGCTGGCGCAGGACTCAGTTCAGGCTCAGACCACTCTGCCCCAAACAATAGATTCTAGATCAGCACCAACACCACGCTCTGGTTTGGCACAGATCTGTTATAAGTGTTCTTCATAGTGATTATGGTCACAGCCTTGAGATACCAACACAAATAAATCTTCCATAACAGAGCCATGATATTGTTACAAATATTTAAGAAGGCAGCTTTCGGCCACCTGCTATGCTTGAAGTACTTCAACATTTTTCCTTGGCTTTCTCCATGCAGCAAACTGGACCTATCAGTGCCACTCTTGTGATGACCCGTCCTCTGAAGGGGCCACGTGACCTTGTGTTGGACCTGGAGATGGTCACTGTTAACACTGTCATCAATTTCAGAGGAAGTTCTGTCATTCGACTGAGGATTTATGTATCACAATATCCCTTCTAAACCTAGACTGGCATTGCTTTCTTTAAAACTACCACAGCAGCAGCTGAAAATGGACTATTTTCTACTCTTTTTTCTTCTCAGGAGTCTTCTCACAATCCAACCTGAAATTAGTATTAAATCATGTTACAATGGTTCATGTTACAATAACTGGACAGTAGTTCTTGTGGTTAAGAGACACCTGAGCTTTGAATTATCAGTGGATTCCACAGATTTATTTTATTTTATTTTGCTCATGAGTGTTTAGATACTTTGGTCTTGCTTTCCAAACTTTTTCTAAAGTGTGATTAAAAGCTTTAAAAACTGTGAAGATTTTCACTGTAATGGCAATACTGTTTGGCCAAGACACTAGAGAAACTGGGAAAAATTAGCTTCTACTGTTCTGCTTTCTAAAAATGTAAGAAAAAATGCTTGTGGAACCAGAAAAGCATCAGCTAGTCTCTCTCTCAAAAAAATATGGAATAATCTTACATTCTGAATCCTGGGTCTGATTCAGGAGGAATAATTCCTTATTGGCTTTGCTTTATACTTTCCCCCTTTCTTACTTCCAGGCTAGGAAATTGACTGCCTGGAGATCTTAACTAGAATCCAAACCAACCACAGCTATTACGCCTGCTTAGGTTAGCTTTGTGCTTGTACTTCTTGAATATACCCACTTACACTCTAGGCAACCTGTTCTTAAAATAGAGATAATTTTCAAAAACGGTGTTTTGAAACAACATAGATGGCATGTCAAGTTTAATGCTCAACTTTAGTAGATTTGAAAAAAAGTTATTTCAGGCACAAGAAATCAGGCAGACATAAAATAATTCTTTAGATATTGGCCATTATGGATAGTATGCATGTAACTTAATGACATACTTTGAGTTATTTACTCAAAAAGAGGCCATTATCTTTTCATAATCTATTCCAGGCTCATTTCCTTAATAATCTCAAAGCAGCCCACTGCTGTGTAATAATAGCTCAATATGAAATCAGCAGAAAAGATCCACACATATAGGTCATTTTAGCAACTCTTAACATAATTTTATTATGCTTATTTTATATTACTCTTCTTTTTTCTGCATAGGAAAAGACATGCATCTACAATTCAAGAAAAAAGATACCCAGGCTAGTAATAAGGATGGCTTAATATGAGAGTATATAAGTTCCTAGCTTAGTCCCTACTGTTTCCAAAGACTTCAGGAAGCAGAATGGCAAAACCTCTATCTAATGCCTCAAGTAACAAGTAGCCACAGCCATTAAATTGGCTAGTCGGTTGATCTTGAAAAAAACTAAGTGTGCTGTATTCAGTGTTATATGTTCTACATATAGTCCTTGATTAACAGCTACTCGTTCAGCAACTGTTTTAAGTTATGATGGTTCTGAATGAGGCAACTTAGAGTTGGTCCTCAAAATTGCACCTCTCGTGGCATCTCTGGGGGTGCACATGATCACAATTTGGGTGCTTGGCCTAGGAGTGCAGTGGTTAGAATGCAGTATAGCAGGCTAACTCTGCCAACAGTCTGGAGTTCGATCCTGACAGGCTCGAAGTTGACTCAGCCTTCCATCCTTCAGTAAAATGAACCAGATTATTGGTGCAATATGCTGACTCTGTAAACTGCTTAGGGGGCTATAAAGCACTGTGAAGCAGTATATAAGTCTAATTGCTATTGCTTGGCAACTAGCTTGCAATTATGATGCTCCACGCAATCACATGACTGCATGATGTGTCCTAAAGTCATGTGATTGTCATTTGAAACCTTATTGCTGGTTTCTGGCATGCAAAGTCAATGGGGAAACCAGCAGGAGGTCACAAATTGTGATCAGGTGACATAACACACACAGGATTTGCCTAATGACCTCAAATGGTCATGCCAGGTGACACGTTTCATAACCATGTTGGTTAATTATGGACTTCCTCATCCCAATTACTGTTGTTACCCATCATTGCATGACTGGACTCAATTTTATGATCATTTTTATCATGGTCATTACGTGAATCACTGTGGTTTTTAATCATGTGATCAATAATGTCTCTGGAGATTCTCAGTCAACCAGATCATATTTGTCCCAAAGATTCTTTTCAAAAGGCAACTGGACTTTCTTGGTTTTTTCCTTGAAAACTTTCCGTTTCTCATCCAACAAGCTTCTTCGGTTCTGACTGAATAGTGGGGAATGGAAGAATTTATATTCTTATATTTATATTCTTTCCACCATTCAGTCAGGACCAAAGAAGCTTCTTGGATGAGAAGTGAAATGTTTTCAAGGAAAGAGCCAAGAAAGTCCAGGAGCCTTTTGAAAAGTACCTTTGGGACTATGTGGCCAATAAGTGAAACCAGGTCACCCAGTTGGCTCTGTGCCTAAGATGCAGCTAGTCCTCACTGTTTGGAGCTTTACCAGTAAACCAAACTAGCTTTTTTACAGCTCTTTTATATATAGGAATAGTTTATCTCTTAAATATTCCAATACATGAATTACTTCATACTTTACTATATTATAAACATTTTAAAGAATGCCGCTATAGATAAAATCACATAAGATTAAGGAAGCACTAACTAGCTATGCTGAATCTGATTTCTCAATGCATTTTCAAAATAATGTATGTGGTCCAACTTTCAACAGAAGCTCAGTAAGGATTAGATTTTTTAAAAAGCTGATTGCACCTGTCCTGGGATTTGAGATCATAGCTGTGATTGCACTTACACACATATTTGGGGAACAATTATTTATAGGAGTAAAAATCAAAACAAATCATAGTAGCAATGAACATAATTCTATCATTTGCAGAACATGTATGTTTAATAATTGCTTTCCTGCACATATGCTTTGTATTAGTTTCAATAACTCAAACAATACACTGATTTTTTTTTTAAACTGTATTTTTATTTGTAATTGTTTTAATTTTTCACTGGTTTCACCAGGTTTCCTGGAAAAAAATACATTGTTCAGAACCAAATTGTGAATGTACAAGTTCACTAACGGACTATATTTTTCTGAATGTTCTGATCACGTAAGAGGCTCTATTCCTAGTACAGCTGTGCTTAATTTATAAGTTGTTTAAACTTTTATTCAAAGTAAAAAAAAAGATGTGCAAATTTTTTAAAAAGGGAAATTATATTTGGCAATATATCTAAGTTTGGACTCTAAACAGCAGCAAACCTTGGATGACTTCTTTCAAATAATTATAATTACTTCAGATTATGTGAAGATCATGAGTAGCTTCCTTGCCAGTTCAAGGAAAGGCTTGAGAGCATTTATTTCTCTTATCAAAGTTCCAAAAACTTGCTCCAAAGTTGTACTTTTGCTTGTGCATATAATGCTGAACTATCTTTTTGCTTATGTGCAAAACAGGTACTTTACATGTGCATATGGAAAAATATGTAATAGTTATTTGGTTGTCCATTACTTTTGTACTATTGGCTAATAATGTGACTTTTCTCCCTAACAATCAAATGACCATCTACTAGTGCTTTACTGAAATTATTTTGTTTCCTGTTCCAGCTCACCCACAAAAGGGAAAAAAAATCCCCCCCAGTGTATTATATGATGAAGCAATGCAATTGCATCAGTGTTGCTTGGACACAAAGGGTCAGAAATACTTTTTCTTTGCTGTATAAAAAGCCAATATTAATGGCGAAATATTTCTATGAAAAATGTGCTGAGGAAATTATTAACCGGAGAAAATCCTTCTGAAATATATTGAAATTATTAAGTAAATAAACTATGCCTGAGGACATAATTTTGCTTCTGGGTGGTGCTCATGCATTGCGGTGGGTTTCCAGAAGAATTTATCAGTAGATTGTGCTCCTTGGCTACTGTTGTAGAGATGAAAGGTAAATTCTTCCTTCTTTGCTACCAAATGTTTCTTTTCATTTTATTATTAACTGATTATTTTATTTGGAAAAAAAGTATTAGCCAATCATTATTTGTTACTTTTCCATACATTGCTGAGGTTAAATATATTATGCAAACCAGCAAACTGAGTCAGATTTAGATTTAAAAAATAAATAAATTATTGGTTTATCCTGCCTTTATTATTTTTTAAAAAATATAAACACAGGATAAATGACTCAAGACAGCAAACACACTTAATACTCCTGCCTCCTACTTTTTGGGGGACTAGGCACTTAGATAACCCTCTGAGATGGGTTGGGCTGAGAGAGTGACTGATCCAAAGCCACCCAGTTGAACCACAGAGAGATAGGAAGATGTTGGTTTTGTCTTTAAATATGAATGATTAATTATATATTGTTTTCCAAAATAAAGACAGAATAAAATAAATAAATAGTATTATAATCAGACAGTTAAAACCAGTATTTTCCCTCATCCACTCTTCTGTTGCAGCCATAAAGGAACAGGAATCTGGGAGTGATTTATTGCTATCTGTACCAGTATTGCTAATTTAATCCTTTTCCTCCCAAGTCACCATTATATGTCTCTATAGCAGACAGCTACTTCTAATTCTCCTTTCTATCTCCTGTAGAGTTAAGTAAAGACATTAATTACACTTGGTTGGCAATCCCTACTACTTTATGGTATTCAGGCAGCTCTGCTACGCTTCAGCCCAAGTAGAGTAGGGACAAATAAACCTTCAGCAGTTCAGATTCTAGTCCAGCACGATCCTCAGTCATCTTTTGTCTTCCCTCATTGTCCGTTTGCTAACCAGTTTAGTCACAATTATTTTTTTGCCTGCCTTTTATGACAACTGCTGTCATAAAATTCTTATCTCGTTAGTTTATTAGACTATCATAATAAAGCGTAGGTCTGATGAAAGAATGGCAGATAGTCCAGCTGCAGTTGTCACATATTGAATATATGCAATCCATACACATTAAGATAGCAGGACATGGTTTGCCGGTTTGATAAATAAACTTTAATTGGCTAGATGCTAACAAAGTAAACCACAAATTGCAGATTACAAAGTACAAATCAAACCATAACATTGCTTGCCAGATTAAATAACTAGGTCTGAATGTGACATATTGTTTCATCTCTGTTTCATGCTGGAATGCATCTGCTCTTCTCCCATATATTCTTCCTAAGAAAAGGGAATCTATTTATTAGTGTTAAGTGTTCCTAAGTGCTAAATGGATAGTAGAATTAACTTGGGGATTAAGATCAAATATCTACAGAAAAAAGCAATGTTATACTAAATCAATTATGACAATTATATAAATCTAGTTGAATTTATTATAACATAGATTAGCTTTTTGTTTTGTAACATAGATTAGCTTTTTGTAAATGAGCTTGCTTGAGTTTTAGATGTGTATTTCCTTTTCTGAAGCTGTAATTTTTTTTTGTAACTGTAATTTGTCTTTTATGAAATTGAAATTTTTTATAGCTGCATTTACATTCCATGTAGCCCTTCCCTCAGACCTAGGACCCTATTCTCTATTTCCTAATTCTTGTGCACTTATATTGTAACCCTATTGCTACTGCCTTGTTTATGGCTTGTTATAGTCATCCAGATGTTTAGACTGGATTTGGCATTTTTATCCGCCTATCAAATCCTTCCCAAGGATATAGGATACACAGATGTTGTTGCTTGAAGATGTTAAATGACAACCATATCTTGGTGTATTAATTTAATCACAATCAACCTGAATTAATACTGTTTATCTGGGAGTAAGATCTATTCACCATAGTAGCATTTATTTATTTAATTTATATTGCTGCCTATTCGCCCATGGCAACTCAAGGCAGATTGCACAATGTAAAACCATACTTAAAACAAAAAAATAAAAATAAAAAACAATAAAAACTAACAAAAAAAATCAAATAAATTAATAAAGTAAAATAAAACAAAATCTGGAAAAAATAAAAATATAAAAAAATCACCCCCCAACTCCCACCCACCCACCCTGCCCCAACGACAGCAGATCACACTAGCCATTTGATGGGCTCCCTCCCGCTCTGAGTTCCCCAGGCCCGCTGGCAAAACCAGGTCTTCAGTACCTTCCGAAAGAGTGCTAAAGTGGGGGCCATTCTAATCTCTGGGGGAAAATATTCCAGAGAGAGGGAGCCACCATGGAGAAGGCCCTTCTTCTGGATCCCACAGGTGTATTTCCCTCAGGAATGGGACCCGCAACATTCCCTGCCTCCCTGCTCTAATGGGTCGAGTAGATGTGACCAGCAAGAGACATTCCCTCAGATAACCTGGTCACAAGCCGTGAAGGGCTTTAAAGGTGACAACCAGCACCTTGAGTTGCACACGGAAGCAAATTGGTAACCAACGCAGTTGCTGCAGGAAGTGTGACACATGTGCATTTACATCAAATGACTACAGAATTTACTAACAGTAACTGCAGAGACAACTTACTACAGAGACAATTTACTACTTTTAAATAGTCCACTTAATACATGAGACTTGCTTCAGGATTAATTTTCTTGATCAATAGTCATTCAGCTTGAATTATGTCCTCTGGTCTCTCAGACTTCAAGTAATTTTAAATAACTTTATGCAGTCTATAGGTTAAGAAATTCACAGTCTGAAGTTTATAAATTCCAAGCACATTTTCTGAAATTTTCTATCCATTAGTTACTTCATATTTTTTTCAGTTTGTACTGTACTTACACAGGAAAATATTTCAAGTTGATCTACATCACAGATTTTTTACTGAGTATTTTTCACCATTGGAATGTTCTATAAAGTTTTATGGGGTATATTTGGAATGTAGTTTAGCATCTAACCTAGCCTTCCTCAATCTTCCAGACAGGTTTGTTATGAGGAAAATATCTATGGAGATTCTCAGTCATCCAGATCATGGTTGTTCTAAAGATGCTTTTTTTTTCAGGAGGCAACTAGACTTTCTGGCTTTTCTTTGAAGACATTTCGCTTCTCATTCAAGAAGCTACTTCAGCTCTGTGGAGAAAATAGGAGGCGGAAGATATATTGGATAAGTTCCCCACCTTGAGTTATTTGTAAAAATAATAAAATAAAAATATTAAAAGGTGGGATACAAATATATAACATATATATTTGACATCAACAACTGCAAACATCAACTCTATCAACCAATCAAGAAATGACAACACAGCCAACCTCCCCACCAGTATATATAGGGAGACGGCAGGTCCGATCACGCTTTACTCGCACAAGCACGAAGCCGAAAGCCCCAGCCTGAAGATGGCAAGTGGGACCTTGTCGAAACATTGTCAAGATACACTCAAATCTTACATGGGAAAAGACCCAAACACACCAAGACCTGCATATATATGTGTGTGTGTGTGTGTGTGTGTGTGTGTTTTCTTACGTTTTCGCGGGTACTTACATGTATGGCATTCAGCTTTGTTCGGGTATTTTCCCACGTCATTGTAGTTGTGCTTTTAAAGTTGTAGCAACGTTTCGGCAGAATCTCATTTGCCATCATCAGGCTTCTGTATTGTGTTCGTCTGTGAGTCAGACTTTCATAGCCGTTTCAGTTTTTAATTTGGGGCTAACCTACTGCTGTGCCAGAATGTTTTTTTCTTCATCCTGATTGGTTGGGAGTCTTGGTCTGTGTTTATTGGTCTTGGAGTTTGCTGTGTTCTGCTTGATTGGTGTTTCTAATATCTTCTGTCTGTTTTGTGGCTTTTTTTTGTCTTGATTGGCTGGCAACATTGTGTTCCTGTATTGGAGGCTTTTAGTGCAGCTTGGCTCTGAGTAAATGGACGGATATCCTTTATTAGGAAGCTAGGTTTCATCTGGGTGCCTGGTTGGGGTGTGTTTGAGCTGGAGGTATCAGAGGGGATCTGTTTGTGCCCAGGTGTTTGCCTGGCTTATGGTGTGGAGATTTTTTTGTTTGTGAGTGCAGGCTTCCAGATAATTGATAGCCTGATGGCATCATCT